TAGTTCTACTATTTTCTATGTATGCTAAATACTCTTTGAATTGTTTGCTACAAATATCAAGAACTTTTATTTAGTGCTTCTATAACGTATGTATTTTTTGGTATTGTTAGTATCTGAATAGTTCGTATTCTATTCATTAGAAAACGTCAAACGATTCACATGTCAATAATAAAGAATCTATTTCTTTTTGTTGAGGTAGAAAAAAAATGACTAGAACAAATTTTTTGAAAAATAATTGTACATGAGAAAAAATAATGATTTTACTAGTTGTTTTTTTCATGTTGACTAGCTGAAACAGTACTCTTATGGATTCTTTACTTGATCAGAAGGTAATATATATTCTTTTACTTTCACTCAGTCTCCCACTTTGAAATAAATAAATATTTGGCAAATATCAAGATGAAGTTTGCATGTAGTCCTTTCCTTTCTCAAATTATCAGGCGCTTTTTGTCAATAGTTCTTATTTTTCGTTAGGTTTGTTTTTTGAGACACGCAAAACAATCGAAGTACGATCGACTGCAATTTACAACATTATCTCTACACATTCAAAGTAAGAAACCAAACAAACTTGCAAAGTGAGATATTCAAACGATATTCTTTTTTCTGTTGTTCGAAAAGTCCGTAAAGTTAAAACATGTTAATATCACCAAATGAGATATAATCATGCTAGGATTGTAGATCATAGTCAATTTAGTATTTTCATGTGGTTTTTTTCTTCAAAGACGAGTCTTACAAACATGACACTAGGTTGGGGTGGGTGTGAGTGTGAGTCTATAGCTGACCCACACCCACCCCAATATCTGTATGATCTTCAATTCAAACATGAATTCGTAGATGAAGTACTGAACATCAATGGTCTATTGATACTATTTCATGATCATAACACAATGCAGCTTTTAACATTTATTCAGTAAAAAACAATAGAGATTGATAAAAGCCTTTTTCCTTTTTTCTAGCTGTTAATAATTGTTCCCTTGAAGAATATAATCCTAAATAGAGATGTATGAAATAGGGACTAAAAAAAACCTAATCTCGCACATCTCTAATCCTGAGGTATATGTCAAAAAGTCATCAATAGTTCCTTAACCTAAAGTTGATTAGTTGTTAAAAGAGAACTATTCAAATAACTTAGTTCTTATCAAAATAAATGTTTATACAGATCTACTTTGTGAATATAATTACATTAGATGTATGAAATACTTTCATACTAACCCGCGATGCAAAAGTATCCGTACAAATGTCGAAGCCTATTGTATATAAACGGAAAGTGCTAGAAGCCTAATTCTTTCACACATAGATAGAGCAAAGTCTGTACTTTAAAATACATATTTACAATAAAATTTAGGATGAAGTTTAAGATATTAAATTTTTATTTTTTTTAAACCACTAAAAATGGCTGGTCACCAAGGTAGATTTTTTTGCGCTTTTTCTTATTTTAACTTACATTATGTTGACTACAAAAGAAGATAGGGAGTTCAAACTTGGAAAAGGACAACTGTTGACTCTAGGCTTTTTGAAAATAGATTTTCTATTTTTATGCGTATCCATAGTAACCAGCAATTAGTGGTAAAAGTAAACCAGTAGATTCCACGACTTTTGGCGAAATTTTTCAACACTTGTAAGAATACAAATGTTTTAAAGAGGTGCAAAATATGCAGCTTTTTTAGCTCTACAAGAAGATATATGAAACATTAGAAATAGACATTGTATTGAGCTCATGTATGACGGAACACAGAATGCCTACAAAATAGCACTTGGCCCCGATTTCGACATAGTTAGAGACTTCAATAACTCGGAAGGATTACCTCTGTTTTACTTGAACTTTTTTCCAATCAAAGCTACATAGCTGATCAAAGTTTATATCCCATTTCAAAGCATTAAAGCAAACACATAGCCAAGACATGAAAAAGTTCTTAATTTTACCTTGGTAACAAGCCATTTTTAGTGATTTAAAAAAACTAAAAATTTAATGTCTTAAACTTCATCCTAAATTTTATTGCAAATATGTATTTTAAAGTACATACTTTGCTCTATCTGTGAGTGAAAAAGGTAGGCTTCTAGCACTTTCCGTTCGAACAAAACAGGTCCCGACATTTGTACGGATACTTTTGCATCGCGGGTTATTTGTATAAGAACGAAAAGTCAAAATTAACTACAGTAGTTTGAATTTCATAATAATTAATTGATAAAGTTACTATTGATTATTCGCGTGTTACTTGTAATAAAGAATGATTATGAATGATACACAGAACTGAAAGAATTATATTTTAGTTAAATCTAAAGAGTTTACTATTAGATATAATTTGGTTTAGCACGAAAAAATTGTCGAAATTGAGTGTATAGTGTGTATGAGGGACAAACCACTATTTAGCGAAAAATGCTTTACTTTTCCAAAGAGCAAAAATTGTGAGGTATCCTAGTTGATAGACCTTAATGTCCTCTATCACTAGCAGAAATGTGAGAGCGATTGCTTATTGCCGCATAAAATGCGAGGGGTCAACATTTTGGTAGGAAAACACGAAAAAACGAGTAAGATCGATTTTGTTAATGGTATTTTAGAAGTCCTTACAGATTGACCAAAGCTTTTGAAGGGATTCATATCTAAAAGTCACCTTTATTCAAGGAAATTGCGTGAAAATCACTGGAAAATCGAAAATTCTGGTCGTGTTGTGATTATTTGTGCAGGAAGAAGTGATCCGATCGAGCTGAAAATTTCAATTAATACTAATCTCACTACTACCTATAACATTTAAAAATATCAGCGAAATCTGAAATGTCGAACTATCACCGATATTTGACTTTCTCAGAGACTTACTCTTGAGAACAATTTAGGATAATAAAAACTCACTGAATAAAGCTGCTTTCGAAGATGAATATGATGAATTAAAAGCATCTTCAGTCAATGCTTCATTACTGAGAATATTAACAATTTGCCCATGATTACGAATTATCATTCCACGAAGTAAATCTTCAGTAATCTGTCAATTATAAATAAAAAAAAAACATCTTATCTAATAAAATAAATATAAAGAAATTAAGAAAAAAATCATACAAGTATTGGAGCAAGTGTATTGACAATTAATGTATATTGATATTCATCATCTGTATGAGATAGAATATCTTTAAAATGAACTGTTGCTATAAATCAGAAATTGAATTCAATTATTTTTATATAACGAATTCTTATTTTAAATAAACTTTACCAGCACGATTGACTAATACTGAAATATTATCAGTTAATTCTTCACAAATAGCTGTTATTGTGTATTTGAGTGCATTCAAATCACTCTACGATGAAAAAAAAAGAAACTCAATAAGATTTTATTTTATTTTAGGAATACACAAGAAAAAACCTAAGCTCACATCGATAAGTATAAATACGGGTATGTTCTTTGCCAGAGATTTGTTGAAATGAATGTTTAAGAACATCCAATGGTTTCTTTTGTATATCTAATAAAGCAAGACGATGAGCTTCACGTGCAAATTCAATAGCTAATGCATGATCAAGACATTCACCAGCTAGAATTTTAAAAAAAACATTAGATATACAAAAATAGTTAATAAAATATACACTGCCTTGCCTCCAGTAATAAGAACAGTGTCATATTGGAATAATTGTATGATTCCATATGTAACGAATTATAAAACTGACAAGTAATAAAAATGTAAATACATATTCGATGAGACTTGTCGCCCAACGAAACCTTTATAAAATAAAATAAAATTTATGTTTTTGTTTTTATAAATATCAATAGAGAATATTATTTACCAAAAAAGTGCTTTACTTTCATAATCACGTATAAGAGCATCAGTAGCACTAATTGTTGGAGACATTTGATTGTACATCTATAATTAATATAGAGTGCAGATAGATATTTCATAAAATATCGGAGATACCTATCTCTGTTAATGTTGTCATATCGTTTTCTATATACAAGCATGAA